CCCTAAAACCACCCCCCCCCCCTTGTTCGTGGGCCAAACCCTTCCCCTCACCTGCACATCCCGCAGGCCCTCGTCGAAGCCGGACTGGAACGTCTGGATGTACCTTTTGATGTGCAGCGGGAGAAAAACATTGATTGACATAGGCAAGGAGACGTCGACGGGGGGAGAGGAGGGAGCGGCGGTGAGAGGAGTGGCGTTGGAGCAAGGTCAAGACAGAGAGCTGCGGAGCAACTGGAGGCACGCGGCTTCCAGAAAATCGAGCATTCCTGCTGTTGCGACATTTCAGCACTCCAGGGACTGCGGGACTGCCAGAGTGGGAGGCGCGCGCGGGGCCCGCAGGGCAAGGGAGCCCACGCACTTGAGGATATGGGGCGTGAGGTATGCGTCGGCGGCGGCGGTGAATCCCCGGGGCACCATCTTTACCATCGGCATGACCTCATGAGACAGGGACACCTGTGCTGGCAAGGAGGGGGGGGCGCAGCAACGTGCGGTCGCTGGGGTGATGTGATGTCACCATCGTGGCTAAAGCACGCGGGTCGGGGGGAAAACGATGCAGATGGGGCCTGCTGGTGCGGGATGTGAGAATAGGACACGCGATGGCGGCTGGCGACGCCACTGGGGCGCTAGGGAGGGCATGCCAGCACGCAACGCCCCTGCGACTCTCACAGTGCGCCGCTCTTGCACTCTTGACCAGGATCCAGTCCCCCGAACCACACCCCCTGTCCCGTCAACCAAAAACCCCACACCCACCTGCTTGAACCCCATCCCCCGCGCCAGCTTCCCGACAGCTACCTCATGGTCCGGGAAGATCGCCGCGTGCTTCAGAACGACCGCCACGCTGCTGATCCCGGACTCCGCCACGCGCGCCAGCTCAGCGCGCAGGGCCGACAGGTCTGGCGCTTGCCGGACGCAGACCGCCTCGCCGGTGACGCCGCGCACGACGGGGCCGCCAGGGGGGTAGCGCCTGGCGGTGACGGGCGCGCGCGTGGGGGTAAAGGGAGGGGATGGGGTTGTTGGGGGCCGCTGCCGAACAACTCGTGTCAGCAGCAGGGAGCAACACAGCGCTGCGTGCACGAAGTTCTGGGAGGCCGGACACCCCATGCAGGTGGAGCCCGCCCCTTGCGCCGCGCTACCCACGCCTCACTTTGCGTTTTCTGCCGCGTCAGCGCCGTTGCGGGGCCCGGGCTCGTCTGTCAGCGGCAGGCATACCTCCTCATCAACCTCGACCACGGTCTGGTGCGTGTGCGCGCGTGCGAGATTCCGTGTGTGTGTGTGTGTGCGCGCATGTGTGTGTGTGTGTGTGTGTGTGTGTGTGTGTGTCTGCGCACACATGCACACCCATGGAGGCGGTGAACAGGCGCATGCGTCATGTAAATGAGCGTGAGCGTGCGCGTGCAAATATGACTTTGTGCGCACAAGCGCGCAACCGTATGAGCACGCAGATGTTTGCGGATGCGTGCCTTTGCACTCGTCCAGTTGGCGCACATGCGCACGTGTGCAAACACAATCGCTCGAGCCCAGAGGCCGGGCCTGCATTCGGCAGCAGTGCATAATCTGGGCGCGATTGCCCATGCACAGGGGAATCACGAGTTGCCCTCGACCGCCGCCGGCCACCAAGCCGCACCTCATACAGATTGTCTGGGCACCTGATGCGCAGATCGAATATGTCAGGGCGGGACTGAAGGCAGGGCGGCAGGGGGGCCGATCGACGGGAGCGGGGGGTTGGGGGACGGACTGGGGTAGTGAGCAGGGATGGTGGCAGAGTCACAATCAAGGAGCAAAATTTGGCTTGGCATGTATCACGGAATGCACGAGGGCAGAGTCGAGCGGCGCGGCCTGCGCCGCACCTGGTTGCCGATGTGCAGGAGGTCCGGGAAGCCCTTAGAAACCAGCAGGGCGCTGCGCTCCCCCTTGCGCTCGAGCAGCGCGTTTGTGGCCACGGTGGTGCCCATGCGGATCGAGGCCACGCGGCTGGTGTCCAGCGGCGCGCTCCTGCGCAGCAGCAGCGGCGGCGCCGGGCCGCGGGGCGTGCAGTCTTGAGGCGCGGCGGCCCCCCGCGTGGGCTGGGAGGAGTGCTCATGGCGGGCGCTGGGCGCGGCGCGGGGGCGAGCCTCGCGCGTGCGGGCGCGGGCTGCTTACCGCGGGTGCGGCTGGCCTGTGGCCTCCTCCAAGATCCTCCTGATCCCCTCCCTCGGGGCATCGGGGTAATTTGAGGGGTCCTCTGAAAGCAGCTTCAAGACACTGAGGTGCGACAAGTGAGGGGGGGGGTAGGTGTGGCTGGGCTGGCGGCGCTGACAGAGGGGAATCTAATGGCCGGGTGAGTGGAGTGGGGGGGAGACGCAGGTTGTGAAAGGTCAAGTGGGATTTCAGGCCAGGGCCAGGGCTGGGGCGGCCTGCAGAGGCATGGAGTGTGTGGCGTATGGGAGCCAGGGTTGTGAAGTGCCAATGACGCGTCCGCCCCGTTCCCTGCTCCGCCAGCCGCACCGATACGTGCTGCCGCCCTTGCCATCGGGCACCTGGATTGATTTGGTGGGTGCATTCATTGGAGCGAAGCATCAGACAGCACTGGGCAAGGCCCGGCAGTCGAGCAGCAGCAGGACGAGCAGCGGGTGCCACCATGTCGCAGCGCGATGCGTTTTTCACATGCTGCATCCCAACCTACCTGTGCAAACACGTCCGTAAAAGTGCCCCCCCTGTCTATAGAAAAATGAAAATATCTGCCCATTGTCCGCTGCTGGATCCTGGCAGCGCTCGTCAGCAGATCGTCAAGCACTTGGGGAACGGTCGCAGGCTCTAGAAGCGTCCAAAATGTGATTAAAACAATTATTGAAGCCCAGTGCGATTAGTGGCTAGCCCTGCAAACGCTGTCTGGCGATGCAGTGCCAAGACACATGCTGCATGTGTGTGGCGTGGGCGATGCCCGATGCAGCGAGATGGACTCTAGCCAAGAGCTCCTGTGTTGGGACCAGGCTGCAAAGTCCCACTTGCAAGACGATGCTGCTGTGTACATCTTTGGCAGTTCATCATGTCATTCCACTTTTTTGCGCAAACCCAGAGATGACATGTACACTCCTGTCACCAGGGGGGGCATGCAGCACGGACCATGTTATCAAGGCCTGCAGGAAGACGTGTGCAAGACGAGGACGAAACAGTTTACCTCGTAAATGTCTGGTGTGGCAGTCGAGTCTGTTGCCACCCTGCCTCCCAGTGCAGGAAATTTGATGCTTGCCATGAGCTCCTGTCGCACTGTATTGGAGGCACTCACAAAATGGCACCGCTGTGCAGACGTCTGGGGTGGCTTGTTGTCTGATGACGGGGTGCTTGCTGGCCATGGCTCTGGGCCAAGCGCATGCACAAAAACATGATGATTGAAAGGGGCTGCCGAAGCATGGGGTTTGGGTGGTACATAGGGTTTGTCTCGCTTTTTGTCTTCATTTTTTGTTTTTGGACTACTGGTAGCACAGTGAGTTTGCGAGCCCTTGGTCTTACGTATGGTGACGATATCGTATGACCCTGTGCCAAGTTTATTTGCGCCACACGTGCCAGCACCCGGCCGAATCCATAGGATGTACGCCCAGGCTGGAGAGGAACATAGATTGTCTCACAAGATGCTGTCCAGATTGGAACGTATATGTCTCGGGGGTGCATCGTGTTGTTGCAGGCCGTGTTGGCTGAGCTCTGCTGTCTACTGTATACGTCTAAAGCATTGCGAAAAGCGGCGGCATCTTCAATGCTGACAGCCTGCCGTATTGACGCGGGATCTGAGGGGATTGGCATCATCAAGACCTTCCAAACCCTGGGTGGCATGTGTTCAGGGGATCGTGACCCTCCACGGCGCACCGTCGGCCTCCATCAACCTCTCAAACCACTGCAGGTGCTGCGAACACTGGGCCAGGTGCGCACCACGTGGACCTTGCAGCTGCTTGTAAAATGTAAAAACTGCTCGTGCACAAATGATCTCGGACATCTTCAGCGCTGGGGAGTGGACGAGAAGCGGGAGGTTCAGTGGCGGCAGTTTTCGAACTCCGCACATTGGTGTGTGATCGCTCTCTACGCCTGCACAATAATTGTTGAGGTTGTGTTCGACCTCCGTTTGCCCCTTGTCACCCTTCATTCATCGCAAGTCGGGTTCTCCGATCTGGCACTGGCAATGATGCGGACCGCACTGCTGCTGCTGGCGGTGCTGATCGGCCAGAGTGAGCGCAGCAGCACACTCCTACACCGATCACCGCTCCCACTCTGCCGCGCCGAGCTCCCATTGCACCCAACGGCCCGACTCCCGCCAACCGACTCCCGCGACCCTTCATGCCTGCATGCAGGTGTGGCGGTGAAGACACCTCCCACTCAACTGACAGCCTGCAAGCGCGCTGTCACCAAGCTTGGGCTCTCTTTGAAGGGCGCCACCATCTTCTGCCCCACGGACGGGGTGAGCGGCGTGCCCACTTGCTGCTTCCGAACAGCGTGCGGCACCAGGTAGCGCGGCACCATGCCGCCAGAGACATGCACCGGCAGCGCCGCTGCCGTCCTTGTGCCCCAAATTATGACGAGCAGAGCCCACACTGGCAAGAGGCTCGGCCAGGGAAGTAGTCGGCTTGCTAGCTACAACCAGCGCCAAGTTTCACAAAGTGACACGGGCATTGCGCCGCCGCGCAGGCCTTTGCCGAGTTCTCGCGCCAGCTGGGCTTCAGGGGCGCCAACCCCATCGGCCAGGTGCTGGACAACGTTCCCGCCGACACCCTCAAGCTGGTGAGCGGCCTGGCTGACGGGTGATGCAGACAGCCAGGGCCCGCTGCTGGGCAGCTCCCGAGGGTGCCCAAAGCAGCAGGCGTCAGCACACCAAAGCAGCGGGCGTCAGCGATCACGGCAGGCTTACACGGAGCATGTACTACTGCGCACGGGCACGCTGCCAAGTAGATGCGCAGGGCTCACCTCTTTGACTTGGGTCAAACGCCGCGCGTCCCCGCCCTCACCCCACCCTTGTACCTCCCCAGGTCCTGAGCCACCACATCATCCCCGGCAACATCTACACCTACGGCGGCTTCAAGAACGGCGATGAGTACAACACCCTGACCACTCTGGCCGGCACCACGCTCCAGGTGCGCAACAAGAAGGGCAAGGCCAAGAGCTTCGAGATCGGCTTCAACGGCGTCGACGTCGACGGCGACCCCAAGAACGACCAGGACACCTACAAGCTCGAGAAGGTCGACCTGACCTTTGAGGGGCCCTACGTCGCCTCCAAGTCTGACTATGTGGTCCACCCCATTGACCGCGTGTTCCTGCCCGGGTCGGCGCTGGGCGCCCTGCGTAAGCTGCGCACCAAGAACCTGGGCGCGGGTGCCGGGGCCGCAGAGGACAAGACTGTGACCTCGTCTGTCAACACTGTACTGCCGTGATGGCACGCCGCTGCCCGGCAGCTGCCCTGGCTGCTGACGGCCAAAAGCGCAGCAACGCTTGAGAACAACGCCTAGCAGAGCGACTGCGTGTGTTCGGAGGTGCGGCGCTCGAAGCGATATGGAGCAGTTTGCAACCAAGTTCGCTAACTGGCATCGGCGCGCGGCGCGCAATGCGCGTACTGCCTCGCAGCCGCTAGCCGTGGGCGATTGGGTTTTGGAGATCCTGGAAGGGTCCATCCCTGCTTTGGCAGCACGCGTGGCTGGACCGTTCGAAATTGTCGCAGTCCGCGGCTCAACCATCCAGCTGTGCACAGACGTCGCCGCATTCCGAGAGCACAGGACCTTTTGGCGCGCCGCTGACTGAGTAGTGCGCTACATCCGCAAGTCAGACGTGTTTACGCGACCTGCTGCCTGCGCGCGGCACTTGATATAGTAGCACAAATGTACTGCCGTGATGGCGCGCCGCTGCCCGGCAGCTGCCCTGGCTGCTGGCGGCCAACAGCGCAGCAACGCTTGCGGCGCGCCAAGAGTGATTTTCACAGGAAGTGTGCACGCCTCATCCCGCAAAAATCAATTGCCGTTTGTGGGCACTTGGCACTGTGGAGAGTGCCGTCCTGCGCCTTGCGCGAGTTCCAACATGCTTGCCGCCTACTACAACATGCTTGCCCAGCAAATCCTTGCAGCTACGCCCAGCGCAGTCAGCGCCCGGGTTTTTCCGGTCCACAGCGTGCGCTCCCACTCCCTTGCGGGAGGGGGGGCGACGGCAGTCGGCTGCCATGCCGCTGCACGGCATCAACACAGAGCGGCGCCGCCCGCATGGTGCCCTCATATCACCCATGTAACTGATAATGCAGTACAACACCTGCAAGGCGCTTGAGGCCAACCGGGGCCTGGATACCGCCGGATCGACCGTTTTCTGCCCCAACGATGGGGTGAGCAGCTGCTTGAATTTGGGGCGGGGTGGGCAGCAGGGACCTGGCAAATTAAGTGCTTTCCTTCAAGCAATCACGTGCTGCTCGCATTTCAGAGCGGCAGCATCAGCAAGGAATTGCAGAGGCTGTCACCCGGCCGAGCAGCACGTGCCACCCTTGCACCACGCCACCGCCCACCTGCAGGCGTTTGTCGAGTTTGCGCGCGACGTGGGGTTCAAGGGCGCCGACCCCGAGGCCCTGCTGCTGGTGAAGGTCCCCGCGGCCAGCCTCAAGGCGGTGGGTACAGCCAAACAGGAACGTGCCGCCCACGCAGAGGGGGCAGCATTTTCCGAGGGCACAGCAGCCGCTGCGCAAGCGAACCATGAGAGGGTTCGGTCGCCGTGCCCTGCCATCCGCCAGGATCGTAAGCTCACCAAATCGCTGGCCCGACCCGTCCCTCCCCACGCTTCCGCCCGCAAGTGCTCTCTGCGCACGTCGTCCCCGGCCAGGTGCTGCCTGCCGACCCGATCTCCAAGGCCACCACCCTCACCACCCTTGCGGCCAGCTCCCTGCTTACGCTCAAGCGGGGCGCAGCAAGCTGCTCATCGCCTACAACATCGCCGACATGGACGGCGCCCCCCACAACGACGACGCTGACTCAGACAACACCCAGAACGGCGACGTCGATGTCGAGGGCACCGACCTCACGTTTGATGGCACCTTCGTCAAGGGCACCTCCAAGTACGTCATCCACCCTACCGGCCGCGTCATCGTGCCCGCCAGCAATCTGCAGCCCCTCCGCCTCGTGCGCGCCCAGGCCCTGGGCATCCCCACCGGCCCCGCCGCCGCCGCCGCCGCCATGACGCCCGCCGTGGCGGCCGCCATCACCGCGGCGTCGGTCGCGGCGACGCAGGTGACGCTGTGCAAGCAGACCGTCGGCGTTGACCTGCAGGGCGCCACAGCCTTCCGCCCGACCAACGGGGTGGGTAGCAGGGGGCGCGGGCCTGAGGTCTGTGAGGCAGGGGGCTGGGAAATGAACCAGTTTTCCAGCTGCTCAAGTGGCCCAATATTCTCTGAGCCTGCTGTAGGATGATCTCAGCGTGTTCTGCTTTGTTGCGTCCTGCTGAACGACCCTAAGCAACCAACCTGTGCGCTTCCC